AGGTGCCTCAACTGCGTAAGTGAGTAATGTTTGCTTAGACCGAAATTATCAGCATGTGTCTACGGTGGACTTATTATCTGATTAAAAGCCGGTATACTAAAGCAGGTGTACAGGCTTTTATCAGTCTCATTCATTCGTCTCATATTCATGCCGATGAATTAAAAAAAAAGTCTCGTTTAATCTTCTCGGATAATTATTGCTTTGTTTCGTAAAATTCTATAGTCCGTCTTTTTTGAAGATGAAGTAAAAACACATTGCAGAGTTACCAGTTTTCATAAAATTTTAAATAGTCATGTAGCTGTTGTCGACAGTTTTGTCGATAGATTGTGTAACTTCTTACATAAATTGCGAAAAATGTTTGAATTTTTAATGTTACGACGTTCTAATGATTAGTAATTGTGTTATTGCCTTCTTTATTCTTAGTATCAAACTCAATTTTGTATTTACAACCAACCAACGTGAATTCGGTAGTCGATAGAACATTTTATCGCCTGCAATCATTAGCTGCGTGACCGTGAGACCATACCATGTTTTAAAGCCTAAATTGGAAGAAATATCAGAAACTTATTAGAAAAGTAGGTCCTAATAACAAAAACCTTTTCCACTTCCGATCTTAATCGTAATTGAAGTTTATTGAAGTAATTCAAAAGTCCTTCCCGGCTTTTAAGCCAAGAGATTATTTTCCAGTTTCTGTCAGATATGAGCTCGTAACTAGTGCATTACAATGTCATATTGAAAGATATATCCGATTAAATCGGCACTATATTTGGTGTCGCAGGCCAGCGGGCAGGTTCCACTCGACATTTTACTTATAACGGTTTATTACACAAAAGTGCTACCTACTTCTGATTATTTTAAAATTGTCAAGCAAAATGAATCATGCACGAGTCAACCGTGCGTAAAAACGACCTCGATTCTTCTGTTTATTTTGTTTGACGGAACTCAAAAAAAAATATTTAGCGACTTTCTCAACTTTCTTGTTCAAAACGAATAACATAAATGTTATTACTTACTTGAAACAAAGCAGACGATTGAGCTGCGAACTTTATCGATTTGCAGGATATGGTTAGTTGATGATACGATGGAACACAAACCTGAGAAATTAAGTATTGCAACGCAAGAAGTAACAGGATTAAAGCAAAAGCAAGCCCTAGCACTAAACAGTAAGCAAAATGTACCGGAGAAGTATAAGACATAGGAAGCAAAAAAGAACGTAGACTAAACGAAGCATAGCTGTAGACAATTTCACGCATTCGTTATGGAAACGGCGTATATCAGAAGCAAAGAAAGAGCAAATTACTGATAGATAAGTGTAAAATCGTTCCGTTGTTGAGCAACACTTGAACAGTTTTAATTTTAGGGAAATTATTCAGCTAGTTATTTAAATGTTAGCAAAACAAATCTACGAGGCACTATTAACGTAGAATATACAGATAAAAAGATATTTAAAAATCAGTTAGCGAATTAATATAAGCAACAATTAAGTATTCTCTCGGAGCACTATCTGCAATATTAATCGATGTATTAAAGCTGTATAAGAAACAGGTAAAAGAGTGAAAAAGCACCATTGAATTCTAATCGTGGGATCACTTTCAACGGCTGACTTCGCCCAACGACTTAAAAAAAAGAAACTTTGCAATGTTACTTAGTTTTTGCAATTCTATATAGTAAGTGTAAGAAGCTTTTTTTTTGGCATAATACTATCAGATGCCTTAGTTGTATTTAAAGGAAACATTAAAGAGTGCATGTTATCTTTGAAAGTTTTACGTTATGGACATTACATTGTGATAGTGAGTTTAATATGATACGTCTGTTACGTTTTGTATCATATTGCGTAAAACTTAAAAGCGACTATTTATTTTTAATAAAGATGACTTGAATGGGAGCATATAGAAAAATAATTCATTTACATTTTAGTAACTTTAGAGATCGAGACCTCCTACACTACGCCAACTTTAATTTTTGTCAGTTTCTGTAATTTTTGTTAACATCCATATTTATTTACTAATATTATGCTCCCCAATTTTGTTCAGACAACTCAATTTCGCTAATATTTTTGATTACGTTAGTTATGATAAGGAAAGCAGCGTAGCAGAGACAATAAAAAAGCTGTAAGAACAGTGTCGACGACACACTCGGCGTTGCACTTTAGATTATGGCGTTAAATTAAAGCGTTAAATATGAATTGAATGTGCTTTCGATTGTACATAAATTGAAATAAACGTGTTAATGAACTTCGGTTGCTCCAACTGTGAGACCACACCCATTAAAAGAAATCGGCAATGTTCCTCATTAGTGGACAGTTAATTATTTCTTCTAGCAGTAAGTTGTAGCCATAATCAACTCGCTTTCCTTGTAAGAGTTTAAAGTATGTATAAATTTCCATGATCGTTACACTAAAGTAAATTTTATAGCATCTATAGCGATCGAGGTATGTAATTATTGGATAATATCGTAGAAAGCTAGTGGGTGTTAATAGATACAATAGAAAGTAGTAACTTAGTCAATCATTGCTGGCGCCGTGATAAAACCGGAGGCTATAACACTAGAGTACTTATAAAAGTGATATAAACTAGTCCGGTTTGACAAACTTCGCGGAAACTTATAAGGGCGTTCAATCATGGTTTATTACGTTCTGCTTATCCTATTTGTTTTCTTTAGAAGTGATGAGTCACAATTGACAATCGAAAAGATTATTGTAAACTTAGGAATTTCGGTTTGAATAAGTGAAAAGCTGTTTACAAAATGTAATTAATAAAGTTCGTTATTCATAATTTTGATGAACTTTGAGAACACTCGAGTTGTTACCGCGTTGTTATGTAAAGTCTACCAATTTTATCTTAATCTTTACGCTACTAACTATTCGGAATTTATGCGGAATTTCCTCAAGACCCTGTCACCAGGCAGTAAATTATAGGAAAAAAAACAGTCCTATAAAGGTACTAAGCTGTTTTTCTACTGAGAATAGACCATCAGTATTCTACATTTGGCGACGAGGCACATAAAACGCCATATTAGACTCGTTGGCTATGTCAACCGACTCACGCGCAGCATCCTGGTACGCAGGATATACTTACATTGATAGGGATATACATATATCGCATAGTATCTATCGAGAGGGTTAAGTCAATAGTAAAATCTTACAATATTTACGAATCCATTTAATGAAATGATATAATATATAGTTGGCACCTACGCTCGCCGTTTAAAATTGATTGTAACCGACGCGTTCCTTTTTTAAATTTGGTAAACCTGTTAGAGGAATATTATCAATGAGGAATAATAGTACATTGTGTATTACGGGCGGTAAGAAATTATTAACCTGAATTTGTTCTACTCGAGGATTGTAATTTTTACCACCCATGCTACATACAATGTTTTTCACAATATTATTACACATAATTTATTTCTTGTATGTATAAATATCGCTTCACAACACAACATTTACGGATTTTGCAAATGGTTTTTGTTTTTTTTTAAACAGATTGCCAGCTATTCTTCCATAGATAATACAACTCGAAATAAAATGTTTTTTTAAGGCACAGACGCATGCAGCCACAATGTAGTATATTGATATAAAATAAATCATTTCCAAATTCTAAAAATACTGCTTAATTTGAATTCACAAAATTAATTTAGTAAAATTTAATTAGATTACAAATGTTTAGTTTTTTTTTATACATCAAGTTTATGCGAAATAAACGTGCAGTTCAAGAAACTTTTTCTTCTTGAAGTAATAAATCTTGGCGTGAAAAATCCATATGGCGATAATGTAATGAAAAAGCCCGTGGGCATAACTTAGAACGTTGTCGATTTTGCCTGCATGTCATGACACTGTTTACGAGCAAGTGTGATGAAAATGTCACTTGTTTTTATTCATACATACGAGGGGTGGCTGAACAGTAATCTACCTCTAAGTATTTTCCGATTGAAAAGACGACTATGGCTATTTTTTCTATTCCATATCGAACAAAGGAAACGCATTTATTATATTTGTTTTTGAGAGACTTTAGTCTGTCGCTAATTTTTAAACATTTAGCTTTCTTCTTCCGACGCTGTCCTTGCGAAACGAAACGTACTTAATAAACAAAAGAGAGATGCTAATTTTGAAAAAAAATGTAATATTGGAAATAGTCAAAAGTTAATCACTTTTATGCCCCTCATATATTTACATTTAGCTTAGGTTCATGGTTCATAGTTAGTTGTGCGTTTTGGAAAACTACTTAATAAAAGAAAGCATGTCTATTTAACTGAGCTTTATACAACAACGTGTATTTAAAATGATACAAAACTCCTGTGAATATGTTAGTTATGTATAATTTCGAGACATATAAATTTACTGGATAAATAATACGACTTAAATCACGGAAACGATAGCGAAAGTTTATTAGTTTAAGTAAAGTTTATTAGTGAAAGTTTATTGATATACCTAATGCCTATTATTATTTTATGAAACTGTGTTAGCGTGATAGAACACGTATTATATTAATCTGTGATAGCGATAATACAGTATTCTAAATGCACATTAATTTATCGCGAGTCGACATTTGGCAATCTAATTGCAACCGAATAATCAAAAAAAATCACACATAGTGATTGCGAAACAGAATTAAAAGGTTTTGTAAATTTTTATTAGCATACTTAGTTCCAATTTTTATTATTAAGAACGTTAGAAATTTTAGAACAAATAATATAAGGAAAGACTCGTGAGATTTTATAAAACACGCTTCCCTATGTGAAACTACCTACAAACACGTGTGTGTTCAATAATATGCTCCACAACGCATAGCTTACTACTTAATATATAGGTAGTATTTTTATACGTTGAGATGAAATCCGTTAGATCAACACCTGAAGAGTGGTCAGCCCACGCTCACATGCACATACTCCACCAACACACGAAATACACCTACACGCAAATATTTAATTCGTGTTTTGTTGATTAGAAAAAACGTGTTCGGCATTCCAATTTTACTTTTGAAGGGGCCATTCCCACTTACCCGATTAGATTCCAAAGCTTCGGCACTGTGCTCCTCCTTCTGACGGAAGCAATTAGTGCACTTGCTCTTATTGAAGATGTTAGGTGCAAATTTCCTGCAATCCGATCGCCCAGACATGATTGTCAGAGGTCAGGGTCAGTAAAACGTTCACTATGTCACCGTACACAGCATGTTGCTACTGTAAAACACCCCACACTAGACGATTATCTCGCCTATTTTTTAAAAACCGAACACGTAGTTTATCACGCGCTCATCCACCGGTGAGTGAGCTATCAGCGAAATCACTGCAAGTGAACCGAGAGCTAACGTCATACAAAAACACATGCACTAACACAATCTCCTTCGGCAACCAAACACCGAAGCAGTCGAACAATCGCGTAAACAATATTCGTGTACACGTCAAAAATTTAAAACAATAAACATCGACATTACAACGAACACGCGGAGTTCGCGAGCGCGCAGCGACACGACCGCCCGTCCATTTTACATCTGATAGAAAAGCAGCGAACAGAGTTGTTGTTTTACAACTTCTCTTTTCTTGTTTATGTGTCTGCAACTTAACTTGTCCATGTAGTTGTGACGGTACACCTGTAGTAGTGACCGTAGATTCTCTTACTCTAACGCGCGATACTTACATAAATCTGTCCTTGTTACCCTTTTCATTAATTACGCAGCACCCATCGTAAAACATACACTGCCATCTATTGAGCGAGCTTGCTAGACGCTCAGAAATATGCAAGAGTAGCTTCCTACAACCGAACCGACGCATGGGCAAGTGTAGTAAATGCATTTCGACGTAGTTTGCGCTAAAATATGTAGAGGGAGCTGAAATCAAATATTACGGAGTCTTAACGTTCGGATATTCTATCGCGGACTGATTGCGAACACAATAGTAATTATATTAAAGAAAATGTGGAAGTCGGTCGTACATAACACAATAATATTGTAACTGTTTTTAAAAAAAATGTTTTTAAAAAAATTATTTTTTTGGATAAATCGACAAACTTAAGAGGAGTTGTAGCGTTACCATATACTCAATTTTGTGTGAATGTAATGTTGTTGTGCTTAGGTATTTGATAAAGAATAATTTACGTTATTTACGTATTTTACATAGGTGGAGGCTTAGACTTATACCGGCACAGGATAAACTAGTTTAGGTTCCAACCAGAAAATGTGATGTTTGTGGAGAAATACATACAGGAGTGATAAAAAACCACTGACCATTTTAAAAGAGTATACTGTACAATGGAAATAAAAAATACATGTTCGGGTTTTGTTTCAATTTCAAATACTTGACAAATAAATAATTATAACGTCTCAAAGTTTTCCGGTAAATTGTGAATAATACTGACACCCGATAATAATAGACGCCGTTGCCATAGCAACAATCAGTGGGCGGAGTCAGCGCGCGAGTTTACGTATTGTCGACCTCGGTAGCCGAAAGCGCGATGATGAGGCCTCAGATTCGATGCCCGGTAGAACCAGGTAATTTAATTGCCGTGATTGTTTGGTATTTTATTTTATTTGTTGGTAATAAATTTAATTGCAATTTCTCCTTCATACTTTTTACGAGCTTAGAATCGTGAAAATACAAGTTTTTGTTAAAACAAGAGGAAATTGTTACATCACAAGTAGGTACTACTGTATTCAGGTATATTTAAAAATTTGCAATGAACTTATGTACAATTATCTCTCGTAACCATCGTCATTCATTATCTGCTGCAATGCTGAGCATAGGCCTCCCTATAAGAGTGCCACAATAAAAAAAAATTAAAAATCAAAAACTTACTTAAGTCAGCAATACTTCAATAATTGCTCAAAATGTTTTTTTTTCTTAATGAATGGCTTGTGAGACTGCTCAAAATTAGTCCATTACGCTGTAAAGACTATCTAGCGCCTTTAATGATGTTCCTCCGCAATGTAATTTCCGCAGCACTGCACAATCACTTTTTAAAGCGTCAAATCCGATAATGGATGAATTAAGTTCGTCACGGCTTTGGATTTCGTTCACGTTACACTCGACGTTTAACTTCGCCCCATAAAAAAATCATATGGAGTGAGAACAGGTGACCTGGGAGGCCACTGTACTGATCCTCCAAGCCAAGAGCTGAACTTCGTGAAGACTCCAACCACTTTCGATATAAACACGAACCATCTCGTAATATTCCTGATAGGAGTACATTGTTAAGCAACGACGACTGCAATTTGTTTGCGTTTGCGTCGATTTGAAGTCGCATGAGGGCCAGACACGACGGCGCCTGACGTGGCGGCGCCAGTCGCTTGAAGAACAGACTATTATTTACTAATTATAAGGAAATTTTACCTTAGAAATTATTAGGAAATATTGACATTTTAAAAAAGCAAAAAATTGGGATTTTTTTTAATTTTATTTCACTAATGTGTTGTATAAATAAATGTGTTGTATTACTGAATCTTATGCACAGGAAAAAAATGGACAGTGATATTATTATAATGTTGCAAGTAAACATAGCAGAGGGTAGTAAAGACATTTTAAATACAATATGTATTTTAAAAAATCGTGCATTTTTAGACCTTTTCACATTTGTACGATTTTTAAAAATTGCTATAGCGTCACTTATTTACATTTTTTATTTCGAATCCTCTCAGAACTAAAAATACTTAAAAGACTTAAATCTGAATCCTACATTATTTTTACAACTTGTTTATTCTTCTCTCATAAAAGTTATTACATTTTTTTTTTGTTCTGTTCGTCCAAAAAGGACAGGCTAAGGTCAGAGACCATGCTGCCTCGTCTTCAGTGGTATATTATCGTCTTCAGTGGAATTCAATAAGTAAACGTTTTTAGTAATTTTTTTCTGCCGATCATCAGTATAATCCATTAATTACACTTCTGAAAATCTTGCTTCGTCAAAAAAGTTATTACATGTGAGAAGCATAATTTTTTTTTATTAATAATTTTGGCTTGGTTTAATTATGTTTCTGTAAATATGGCCGCCACAAAGAGGATAGGCAATTTGAGGTGGCGTGCTTGGATTGACTCGGGATTTCTTAGAACGGGCCCATACGGGTGTTTTATTTCGAGATTCGTGTAATTTCGCGTTTTAATCTTCGATTACTGCACAATAGCACTATCCTATTCCACTTTAAATTAGATTTCACAAAATAAATGAAAGTCAAAATTAAAACGACACTTATCCCTCCAAAAGGCCCAGAGCGAATCCTGAGAACCATGTGGCTTCAATCATTTTTTGCCCTTGTGCTTGTGATCTTGCTTTATAAGAAACACATACCATTATGCTCTAAGCATCCTATACTTCTATTCTATTTCGACCTTAAACGCATTTTGAAAATATTACAGTAAAAGCACATTACCTTTAAGCTCACTTTATTTAAGCAAAATTTAAAAAAGTTAATAGATACTACCTAAGATGATTTTATTTAGCGTTGGCAACTTGTTAGTCAAGGACAGACCACTACTTCCGGCTTTCTTACGTGTTTCGGTTTTTTACTTTTACTTACAATAAACCTTAATATAACCCAATTAGGAGCAAGTTTATAATATTGGTATATCGAAGTGCGCGATCCAGTTTTTGAAATATATAAGTCCGTGCCATTAACCAATCTATTTAAACTTTCATGTCCATATTATTTTCATCCTACGAACTTGGTAAGCAACACAATAACCTTGGTAATGGTCACTTTATTAATATATATATAAGAAACTGTATATAAGAACCATTCGCTTCTTTTATTTCAGTGCCGTATGTAATTTGAACTATTGTAATATGGAGTAGTTGACTGTAATGTTTATTCACTCATAATTTTCTCACAAATACATAGTGCCATTAATAGAATATCCGAACAAACTGTCAACTTGGGAAATGTTGCCATCGTGAAATATTTATTAACCAATCCAAATGGAGTATTTAATCATCGACATATTTAATCCATCTGTCATTCCTGTGGCATTGACAGCGGCTGTTGGGTGATTCGCATGTGACGTTGCCGCTGCTTTGTCAACCGATTTCCCCGCGCAAGTTCGCCTCTGAATATCAGTCTCGGCTGAAAAGGGACAAAACAGTCTACCTTTACGTCCGGTAGTGGTTCCACCGCAGTCTCTTTCAATTCCAAGGTGAGGGGTTATGGGAAGCTCGAACAACCTTCACAGTTCATCGTGTTCCAATAAAAATTCAATTAATGTGTAATATAATTTGAATGTGATATTTGTAGCGCTACTTTTCGGCAGCGGATTAGTCATCGTTTCTATTAAAAATGCTGGTTAGCTCATAATTATTCGCACAGAGGCGTGGTGAGGTTATAAAGAGGTTTATTATTTTAGCATGGAGGACCTGTCTTTTTTGCCGGATCTCCCGAGCGGGCCCCTGGATGTATATAGAAGTAGCGCCTCATTCGACTGGAAGCGGCTAAAGTTGGCTTTGGAGGGAGATATCGATTTTTTGAAACTCAAGGTAAATCTACTAAAACTCATTTTAAAGAAGTTTATTTTAATTTTATCTTAAAAGTATGTTTCCAGTTTGCTCATGGAAACCTTGGTAAAGATCGTGTGATTCGAGCAACCTTCAGCAAGGCTTGGCAATTTTTTTTGGACGTATTTTTTGTCACATCAATACTGAAAAGAAAAGTTGCAGCTGGTTTGATATCTAGTTGCTGTAAAAATTTCGTAACTTTGGTTGTCTATTACAAATATATTTAAATATTATTAATATAATAAAATTCAAATTATATCAATCTATATCACCTTTTTTAAGTTGAACTACATTACTAATAAAAAAAGTACTTATTAAAATATCTCATTCATCAGCCGGACATCAGAATTGGCTGAGTAAATTTGTCTAAACTTCACACATAGAGTGGATAAAACCTTCCTCAGATATTCTGGAATTTTTGTATTGTATTTTGTTTTGTATTGTATTTTGTTTTATATATTTTTCATGTGTAACTAACATCATTTTAATGCATTGTAGTGCTTAGAAGAAAATTTTTGTTGTTGTATGTACAAAAATGACTACCTATATTGTTTTGATTTTTGGACAAGTATAGTTTTGGCTAGTTCTATATAGTAATATGTTACAGTTGGTAAGTTGAGCAAATACTTTATAAAAATGTTCTGCTTGTAATTTTGGACTTTTTGGGCATTTATTATGGATTCTTGAAAAATTGGTCACAATATAAAATTGAACAGTTTCTTAACAACTTTAGTAATTTGGAACTAGAGAACATTCCAAAACAATTGTTGCAAGTTAAAATTCTCACATAGTGTATGTAGTTTTTGTTTTTCTTCTGATATTTCAACTTGAGATCATGGATCTTGTAAGGAAAAAATATACAATTACAGCAACTATTAAGAAACTTG